TACGATGTTCTGGTGGTGAGATATGGCTTATTCATGTGTTTGTATGGTTACTAGGGTACCCTATATGGTTGCTATGGTGTGCTTAGACTGTCAACTAGTCTTTAAATATCATCTCATAAACTGTATGAGTCAAACAAGGCAAACTCCATGTTTCTACTATTTTCTGGAGCTGAGATATGGCTTGAATATGTTGTTTTATGGTTGCTAGGCTGCCCTAAGTGGTTGCTAGGGCACGAATATGAAGTTATTATGTCTCTACTTATTGGCTGCTTGATAGGCCGAGTCAAAAGAGCCCAACCCCAAGTCTCTATGACCTTCTGGTCAAAAGATATGATATAACAAATTTTGTGCCAATGTTAAGCCTATGGGACATTTTTCGGCTAATTTATCGCCCGCCGGACGAACATCGTAAAACCGATCACTTAGAAAAGTCATAGCACACCTCTCCTCAATGAACCGGTCGATTTGACACCTCATTCATGGGTCTACGACAAAAGGTGCGGGAGGAGTAGCGTGCCGAAGTTTTGTCTTGGTGAATAGTAATCACAATATAGAATGTACATTTCCAGAAGAAAATGTGAAGTGGTGCTTGCAGTGGCAAAACTCGCCGCTCGGTTGCTAGGGTGTGGCACATTATTGCATACGAGACAAAGAACACGTCTGTATGATGTTCTGGTGCTGAGATATGGCTTATTCATGTGTTCAGGTGGTTACTAGGGTACCCTATATGGTTGCTATGGTGTGCTTATACAGTTTATGAGATGATATTTAAAGACTAGTTGACAGTGTAAGTCAAAAAAGCTAAACTCCATGTTTCTACTATTTTCTGGAGCTGAAATATGGCTTTGAAATGTAGTTTGATGGTTGCTAGGGTGCCCTAAGTGGTTGCTAGGGCACGGCTATGAAGTTATTATATCACTACTTATTGGCTTCTTGATAGGCCGAGTCAAAAGAGCCCAACCCCAAGTCTATATGACCTTCTGGTCAAAAGATATGATCTCACAAATTTTGTGCCAATGTTAAGTCTATGGGACTTTTTTCAGCCAATTATTTGCCCCTGGGGCAAACACCGTACCCCCGATCGCTAAGAAAAGTCACAGCACACCTCTCCTCAATAATCCGCACAATTTGACGCCTCACTCAGGGGTCTGTGATGTTGGCATGTATTTATTTACAGATAATTACTATGGAGTTTTATATGGAGTTTTTATAGAGTTTTTATAGAGTTATTTAGTATGGCACTCGGCCTGCGGCCTCGTGCCTATGGCCTACGGTTGCTAGGGTGCTGTAACTGGTTGCTATGGTGTGGCTATGAAGATTTTAGGCCATTACTTATTGGCTGCTTGATAAAATAAATCCTCTGAGGGAGAGAAAGAGGGCCTGACAGCAGGGCTGTCAGGCCCTTTTCTGTGGGTGTGTGTGAAAGTGGCAGTTTGGATTTGAATTTTTGAAAATTCCGCAATGTTAAGTCAATGGGACTTTTTTGGCCGCTTTTTCGTCCGCTGTGCGAACATCGTACAGCCGATCGCTTAGAAAAGTCATACCACACCTCTCCTCAATGAGCCGGTCGATTTGACACCTCACTCAGGGGTCTGTGACAAAAGTTGTGGGAGGAGTAGCGCGCCAAACTTTTGTCCAGAAGAAGAAGAATAATAAGTATGCAAGAGAACACTAGTGTTGCTTTGCTTTCAGCAAGCACCACTAATAATAAGTATGCACAATAACACTAGTGTTGCTTTGCCATAGGCAAGCACCACTAATAAGTATGACGGATAACAATAGTGTTGCTTTGCCATAGGCAAGCACCACTAACCAGAATGTACATTTCCAGAAGAAAATGTGAAGTGGTGCTTGCAGTGGCAAAACTCGCCGCTCGGTTGCTAGGGTGTGTATAGCTAGTTTTTAGTAAAATGCTAACAAAATAAGCATAATGATAGCATGATTAGCATGTTGCTAGCATCATGCTACCGTGTCTTTAGCATGATGCTAACATGATTAGCAGGTTGCTAGCATGTTTGTAGCTAGATGCTAGCATGATTAGCATGTTGCTAGCATCATGCTAGCATGATTAGCATGTAGCTAGCATCATGCTAGCATGATTAGCATGTCGCTAGCATCATGCTAGCATGATTAGCATGTTGCTAGCATCATGCTAGCATGATTAGCATGTTGCTAGCATAATGCTAGCATGATTAGCATGTTTCTAGCATCATGCTAGCATGATTAGCATGTTGCTAGCATCATGCTAGCATGATTAGCATGTTGCTAGCATAATGCTAGCATGATTAGCATGTTTCTAGCATCATGCTAGCATGATTAGTATGTTTCTAGCATCATGCTAGCATGATTAGCATGTTGCTAGCATCATGCTAGCATGATTAGCATGTTGCTAGCATAATGCTAGCATGATTAGCATGTTTCTAGCATCATGCTAGCATGATTAGCATGGTGCTAGCATCATGCTAGCATGATTAGCATGTTGCTAGCATAATGCTAGCATGATTAGCATGTTTGCTAGCATGTTTGTAGCTAGATGCTAGCATGATTAGCATGTTGCTAGCATCATGTTAGCATGATTAGCATGTTGCTAGCATCATGCTAGCATGATTAGCATGTTGCTAGCATCATGCTAGCATGATTAGCATGTTGCTAGCATCATGCTAGTATGATTAGCATGTTGCTAGCATCATGCTAGCATGATTAGCATGTTGCTAGCATCATGCTAGCATGATTAGCATGTTTGCTAGCATGTTTGTAGCTAGATACTAGCAAGATTAGCATGTTGCTAGCATCATTTAGCACTTAACTAATCGATATTAGCATGTAGCTATTCACAGCTAGCATGTTTAGCATGTTGAAAGTCCTGTGTGCTAACATGAGTCAAAAGACCCAACCCCCATCGCGATACAATGTTCTGATGCTGAGATATAGCTGTTACAAAATGGTTGCTAGGGTAATCTGTTTGGTTGCTAGGGAGTGGCTTGGCAGCTGCCAATCATGAAACTCCAAAGGCTGCTTGTCAGTATGAATGATATAAACCAACTCCCATGCCTCTGTGACATTCAGAATGGAAGATATCCCTCTTTGGATTTTGGTTGCTAAGGTGCTCGACAATGGTTGCTAGGGCGTGGCTAGGAAGTGTTGAGGTCATTCATGATTGGCTGTTTGCTACCCCGAGTCAAACGAGACCACCCTCGTGTTTCTATGACTCTTATATCCTGAGATATCCCTTTGATCTGTTTCAATGGAAGTCTATGGAACTTGTTGCTAAGGAGCTCTAAATGGTTGCTAGGGCGTGGCTTGATAGCTTCACAATGATCCTGAGAGACTGATTGGTTGTCTGAGTAAAATGAGCCCGCCCCCTTGTCTCTATGACACTGTGATCCAGAGTTATGTTCAATATAAAAGCGGTTTCTATGGTGTAGGACGGCCCATTTCATGGGCCGTCCTACACCATAGTAAGTCAATGGGGCAACTTTGGGCCCCTCCTGCCCCCCAGGAAAAAAACAAAACACAAAGTAAATTACAATTCTATCGAAATCTCAAATCAAAATATGAAATGGAAGAATATCTCCAGAGTGTGAGAGACACAAAGCAGAGACGGATCCTGAGCAAGTACAGGCTGAGTGAACACAGTCTCGCCATCGAGACCGGCAGACACAGAAAGAGCTGGTTACCCCGAGAGCAAAGGGTGTGTGTTCAGTGTAGGACAGGAGAGATCGAGACAGAGACACACTTCCTCCTTCACTGTCACAGATACAGCTCAGTCAGAGACCTCTACTTTAACAAACTTAATAACTTAATACACAACTTTACAGCCATGACTGAAGTAGAACAGATAAAGATCCTACTAGGAGAGGGACAGACCGCAACACTGGCTGCCAGATACGTGTGTGTGTGCCACAGCCTGAGAGACAGCAGGTGAATGAAGGAGAGGAGAGGAGAAGAGAGGAGAAGAGAGGAGTTGAGTGGAGAGGAGAGGAGAGGAGAGGAGAGGAGATGAGTGGAGAGGAGAGGAGAGGAGAGGAGATGAGTGGAGAGGAGAGGAGAGGAGAGGAGAGGAGAGGAGAGGAGAGGAGAGGAGATGAGTGGAGAGGAGAGGAGAGGAGAGGAGATGAGTGGAGAGGAGATGAGTGGAGAGGAGAGGAGAGGAGAGGAGAGGAGAGGAGAGGAGAGGAGAGGAGAGGAGATGAGTGGAGAGGAGAGGAGAGGAGAGGAGAGGAGAGGAGAGGAGAGGAGAGGAGATGAGTGGAGAGGAGAGGAGAGGAGAGGAGAGGAGAGGAGAGGAGAGGAGAGGAGAGGAGAGGAGATGAGATGAGTGGAGAGGAGAGGAGAGGAGAGGAGAGGAGAGGAGAGGAGAGGAGATGAGTGGAGAGGAGAGGAGAGGAGAGGAGAGGAGAGGAGAGGAGAGGAGAGGAGAGGAGAGGAGAGGAGAGGAGAGGAGAGGAGAAGAGATGAGTGGACAGGAGATGAATGGAGAGGAGACGAGATGTGAGTAGATGAAAGGAGATGAGAGGAGAGGAGAAGAGTGGAGAGGAGAAGAGATGAGTGGACAGGAGAAGAGTGGAGAGGAGAGGAGAGGAGAGGAGAGGAGAGGAGAGGAGAGGAGAGGAGAGGAGAGGAGAGGAGAGGAGAGGAGAGGAGATGAGTGGAGAGGAGACGAGATGTGAGTAGATGAAAGGAGATGAGAGGAGAGGAGAGGAAACAAGAGGAGAGGAGACAAAGTTAGAGAAGAGGAGAGGAGACAAGACAAGAGAAGAGTAGACAAGAGGAGAGGAGACAAAGTTAGAGAAGAGGAGAGGAGACAAGACAAGAGAAGAGTAGACAAGAGGAGATGAAAGATGAGAGGAGAGACAAAGAAAAACAAGGAAGAGAGAAGAGACAGGATGATACAGAGATAAGAGGAGATGAAATGAGACAAGAGAAAAAAAGATATAAAATTGGAGACAAGTTGAGAAGAGGAAATGAGAGAAGAGAAGAGACAATACGAAGAGCGAAAGTTACAAAATGAGATGAGGAGAGAGGAGTTGAGTTGAAAAGCAAGAGAGGAGACAAGACGAGATGAAACTAAGACAAAATACACAAGATGGGAGGAGACAGGATAGCAGTGAGTCAAGATGAGAAAGGAGTCGTCGATCTGAGACGCTGAGCCTGTGTGTGTGTCCTCTCACCGTGCAGTGGATCTGCTGCTGCAGTAGTGTGGGCACGTCTCCTCCGATGGGCATCTGTTTGTTCAGCTCCTCATCCTTCACACTGATCCAGCGCCCCAGTTCCTCCAGTACTGACAGAAGCCTGTTCCAGCGCTCAGCACTGGCCTCCAGATGAGCCCTGCACACACGTTTCGACATTTAAATAATACAAACCTTACTGATGCAAGATTGAGAATGCATCAGGATTTTCCTACAAACACAGGTAACTTTCCAACAGACTTTCTCTGTACAACACGAGTGCAACAGGTGAAACTGTGTGTGAGAATGCAGAGCTCAACAATGTGAGCGTTTCACTCGCATTTGCGACTAAAAATAGATGTGTGCGAACTATAAAATGTACAGCAGCAACTCAGCCACGAAGCAGAAGACCACATAAAGACACAAAGGTCACCAAGTGCCGAGGCGCATGCGTAAAAGTCACCAAAGCTCTGCTGATCTCATAGCGGAGAAGTGAAACTTCCACTGGCAGTAATATCAGCACAAAAACTGTGCGGCGGGAGCTTCACGGAATGGGTTTCCATGGCCGAGCATCTGCAGGCAAGCCTCACATCGCCAACTACAAGTGTGGGAAGTGGAGTAAAGCATGCTGCCACTGGACTCTGGAGCAGTGGAAACATGTTCTGTCAAGTGACGAATCATGCGTCTCTGTTTGCCAGTCTGATGGATGAGTCTGGGTTTGGCGGATGCCAGAAGAACGTTACCGGCCCGACTATACTGTGCCAACTGTAGTTTGGTGGAGGGGGAATGCTGGTGTGGGGTTGTTTCTCAGGGGTTGGGCTTGGCCACTTACTCCCAGTGAAGGGAAGTCTTAATGCTTCAGCATACCAACACATTTAGGATGATGCTGTGCTTCCAACTTTGTGGGAACAGTTTGGGGAAGGCCTTTTCTATTTCAGCATGACTGGGTCTCACTGTACAAAACAAGGTCCATAAACACATGGTTGGATGAGTTTGGTGTGGAGGAACTTGACTGGCCGGCACATAGTCCTGACCTCAACCCCATCTACACCTTTGGGATAAAGTGGAATGGAGATTGTGAGCCGGGGCTTCTCGTCCAACACCAGTGCCTGACCTCACAGATGTGCTACTGGATAAATGGGCAAAAATACCCACAGAAAAACTCAAAATCTTGTGGAAAGGCTTCCCAGAAGAGTGGAAGCCGTTATAGCTGTGAAGGGGGGACCAACTCCATATTAATGTGTATATATTTAGAATGTGACGTCATTACAGTCTTTGTTGGTCAGGTGTCCCAAATCTTTTGGTGTATTATATAGTGTCCAGAAGGTCCTTAAAAAAAGCTTAATGCAATTTAAGATCACAAAGTCTTGGAAATCTTAAATGGTATAACATACATCTTAATTATCATTTTAAGAGGTCTTAAATTTGGGGATGGAAAAACAGAATAAAGGTCTTCAGGATAATGGGCTAATCAAGATCTTCAGGATTACTAGAAAGCTTCAGACATGTGAGTTTGATCAGGTTGCCCCAGTTGATGCAGACGGTTCTAAGACAACACGTCCCCGCCTGTTTCACTGTTATACGGTAGGGGGCGCTATTATGAATCTTCTAAAATAGTACAGAATCTCCGGATCAAAAAACAGATAAAAAGGAGCAGAAACAAGAGATAAAAGTTGTAGTCACATTGTAGCCTGTGGGAAAAAAACAAAAAAAAATTCAGCTTTATATTCAAAATGTTGCTTTTTTTTATGAAACACACTTACATACAAGTGTTGATAAAACAAGTTTTTTTATATACATTGCATGTTCAGATATTCATACAACAAAATGTTCTGAGGGCCATGAAACGCTGTAAAAAAAAAAAAAAAAACATTGGTGGGGAAAGAGTTAAAAGTCCCGAATTTTGATTAAAATGTTCTTTATTAAGGGGGGGAAAAATATTTTGATACATTTACATCGCATCCCTAAAAGTTTTTAATGTGCTCATAATTTTTCCAACTTGCACCTTGGGAAAAAAGTAAGTGTCAAGCCTTGGTGTATGTTAATGAACGCATCAGCAAGACTTGTAATTATGCATGTTCACTAATTAGTGCCTAATTAGATTAAATAAAACAGCAGACATTAGAGCACACAATTACATTGTTGTCCTCTCACACACACACACATACACACTCTCCTGTTAGTCCATTTTACCCTTTAAAATGGCACACACATATACAACAACTATGCTTGTGACACACACACACACACACGTGTGCACTTGAACTGGAGGTGTTTGTGTGTGACTGACCGTATATTGGCAGATTTGGCCTTCAGGTCGTTCCAGCGCTGGTTCATGTCATCCAGTCTCTGCTGGAGAAATACTGCCTCCTCTGAGCTCCCCAGAGCCTTCACCATCTTCATCTTATTCCCCTCCACACTCCTGAAAACATCATTATGAGCCTCGATCTCCGCCTGGATGTCCTAGACACACACAGAGGGACACAGAGATTGCTTTAACCTTGGTTAAGAGGTTGCACCGTTATCACCTTCATTATGTGGATTCGTTAACGGTAAAGCTAAATAAATCAACAAAGGAAGAGATGCTTCCACACCTCCTCCGCCGAGAGAAAAATACGCAATTAAAGCTGTCAGTCTGATACTGAACCTCTCCACACACACACACACACGCTCATATCAAACTGAAGATAAATCACATTACTCGTGAAAGCGCACATGAAGATACTGAGCACACAAACTAGTCACTACTAAGTCACTTGTTTCAGTATTATGGTAGATAGATTTGATCTAAATATGTCTTTTTTGTTTTGTTTATTTCATTTCAGTTTACGGAGTTCAGTTTTCATTCTTTTCATAAGACAGCACCACACGTACAACCTACCTATGACGATAACACACACTTTATCACAGCCTGCATCATATTTAATACCAAATAGTAATATAAAAATGCATTCAAAGTTTACTATTCAAACACTGCAGCATTTCCTGTCAATCAAACCCTTGCTGCCATCTAAACTGTAGTTAATGTCACTCTGGGTATCTATGATACATCAACTTCGATAGATTGATTAAATGCCTGTGTGGTTCCTTTGCGGTTATTTCTGACAGGATACACTGATAGTCAACGTATTTTTTTAATGGCCATTTTTGGGATTTTGGAAATACTGCACCATAGTCATGCTAATAAAGCTGGTCTGAATCTGCCCGATTGAGGCGTGTTGAGTAGAGGACAGTAAAAGGAGGTTGGGTCTTTTCCAGTTCATTTGCAAAGTGCTCTCTGCAATTTAACAAACTCTCTCACTCTGTCACTCCTTTAAAGAAAACACACAAGAATACCAATGAATACACACAGCAGCACTAACTGTATGCTGCTGCCGAGACAACACAGAGAGGTTAATGTGTATTCTGTGTATTCTGCTGAAGGTCCCAATAGAAAGACCGATCAGTTCACACACACCAGGAAATAAATAGGTAAACAATGTATATACAGATTTATTTTCTGGCCTGTGAACTTAAGATTGCAAGATTGTAATACACTGTTTGACTGATAAATTCTGACTTAAGTGACATAGACAGTTCTGTTCGTGAACATCGATATTACTGGAAACAGAAAGTCCCAAACAACAAAACATTTAGTAAAACAAAACAAAACAAAAATAAATAAATAAAATAAACTCAACAAAACGCTAAAACAAAACAAACTTGAAATCTTACAAATATTTGATGTCACTAACCTCACACACAAACATAACCAAAACACTAAACATGACTAAACAAAAAACTAAACCAAACAAAACTCTGAAACAAACTTGAAATCTTTCAAAGATTTGATGCCAAAACCTCACAAACTTTGGAAAACAAAACCAAAACACTAAACACAACTAAACAAAACACTAAACAAAACAAAACTCCGAAACAAACTTGAAATATTTCAAAGATTTAATGCCACGAACCTCAAAAACGTAACAAAACTAAACAAAACAAAAACAATAAAAAATTAATAATAATAAAACAAACATGAAATCTTTCCAATATTTGATGCCACAAACCTCACACACAAACACAAACATAACCAAAACACTAAACACAACTAAACAAAAAACTAAACAAAACAAAACTCTGAAACAAACTTGAAATCTTTCAAAGATTTGATGCCAAAACCTCACAAACTTTGGAAAACAAAACCAAAACACTAAACACAACTAAACAAAACACTAAACAAAACAAAACTCCGAAACAAACTTGAAATATTTCAAAGATTTAATGCCACGAACCTCAAAAACGTAACAAAACTAAACAAAACAAAAACAATAAAAAATTAATAATAATAAAACAAACATGAAATCTTTCAAAGATTTGATCCCACAAACCTCACACATAAACACAAACATAACCAAAACACTAAACACGACTAAACAAAAAACTAAACAAAACAAAACTCTGAAACAAACTTGAAATATTCCAAAGATTTGATGCCACAAACATCACAAACTTTGGAAAACAAAACCAAACAAAAACTAAACAAAACTAAAAGTAAACTAAACAAAACAAACTCGAAATCTTTCAAAAATTCAATGCCACGAACCGTCGGAAAACAAAACTAAACCAAAACAATCAACAAAACTAAACTAAAACCTAAAAACAAAACTCCAGAACAAACTTAAAGTCTTTCAAAGATTTGATCCCACAAACCTCACAAACTTTGGAAAACAAAACCAAAACACTAAACAAAAGACTAAACAAAACAAAACTCTGAAACAAACTTGAAATATTTCAAAGATTTAATGCCACGAACCTCAAAAACGTAACAAAACTAAACAAAACTAAAACACTAAAAAATTATTAATAATAATAAAACAAACATGAAATATTCCAAAGATTTGATGCCACAAACATCACAAACTTTGGAAAACAAAACCAAACAAAAACTAAACAAAACTAAAAGTAAACTAAACAAAACAAACTCGAAATCTTTCAAAAATTCAATGCCACGAACCGTCGGAAAACAAAACTAAACCAAAACAATCAACAAAACTAAACTAAAACCTAAAAACAAAACTCCAGAACAAACTTAAAGTCTTTCAAAGATTTGATCCCACAAACCTCACAAACTTTGGAAAACAAAACCAAAACACTAAACAAAAGACTAAACAAAACAAAACTCTGAAACAAACTTGAAATATTTCAAAGATTTAATGCCACGAACCTCAAAAACGTAACAAAACTAAACAAAACTAAAACACTAAAAAATTATTAATAATAATAAAACAAACATGAAATATTCCAAAGATTTGATGCCACAAATCTCACAAACGTTGGAAAACAAAACAAAACAAAACAAAACAATTAACTGAACTAAACTAAAAACAAAACTCCAAATCAAACTTAAAATATTTCAAAGATTTAATGCCACGAATCTCAAAAACTTAACAAAACAAAACAAAATAAAAACAATAAAAAATTAATAATAATAATAAAACAAACTCGAAATCTTTCAAAGATTTGATGCCACAAACCTCACAAACTTTGTAAAATCCACTGACTGATGCAACAGATGCTGTCTGCTAAATGGCAAACAGGCTCCCATCCCTCAGAATATACATAGTCAGCCAATCAGATCCGAGTTAGCAATTTTAGAAGATTATTTTCATGTATAACTGCAGTGTGCATCAAGTGGTCAGTGGACAGACTGTAAACAGGTTATGCTGTCTAATCTTAGACTATGGTTAGAGTAACACGCGCACATGTTAGGACGGAGACGGGCCTTATTCACCAGCCCAAACACACACCGTAACCCCTCGACTGAATGTGTCTCACTGCGAACTCTCCTTTCTGCTGTTCATCTGTTACAGTTCTTAATGAAATATTTAACTGTGATCAATTCAACCACGAGCCCCGCACACACTAAAACTCCCTCATCTGGCAGTCTGACCTATTAAACGCGGCAATAAAAAAGCTTTTCTCGTTAATAAAGTTAAAAAATTGCTTCTCGATCATAAAGACTCCCTAGAGCTCATTCATTTAACCAGACTTACCCACAAAACTGAGAGAGAGAGAGAGGAGAGAGAGAGAGACTAGAGAGAGCGAGAGAGCGAGAGAGAGAGAGAGAGAGAGAGAGAGAGAGAGAGAGAGAGAGAGAGAGAGAGAGAGAGAGAGAGAGAGAGAGAGAGAGAGAGAGAGAGAGAGAGAGGTTAAAAGGAAAAAAGTTGACATTTTCCTGTTTGACCTTTCCCTGTTGGTTGATGGAAGCATCCTCATCGACTAACACACACACGCACACACACTGTTCAGCATTACACACTTCCACAGGTGGGAAATGCTCTTCAGACTGAGTGTGTTTTGAAAGCCCTCTCTTTCCCAGAAGCAGTTATTACACAGATAGCACACACTTTTATCCGAGTGACTAACGGTACACTTAATGCTGTGGTCCCTCCAGAACCCTGAGGCCGAGTGTCTGATCAAGGACAGAATTGGGATAGTTGACAGAAACTGTCATTTCTATATACATTTCATAGTTTTTTCTCCTGCATATTAGTGTCAAAGAGATCATTGTGACACTCACAGCAACATATACATGAGACAAAACTGTCTAGCTTAAGCTTGTTTGGTGAACTGGCACAAAAATTTGATTTTGTTTCAGTTTTAGTGGTTGAAGGAAAACAATTTGAATCTGAATCGTTTGAATAAGGGTCAAACTATCATTCTGACTACTCAATTTAGACAATCTATGGCATACATTTTAATATTACATATTTATTAGTCATGTATAATAATTATCATTATTATTACTGCCTTATCGCTATCAACTCGAATTTAAGAGACACTTTATTTTCCTTGTTACAAATGTAGTTACTATAGAAATAACAAAACCCCAACCCATGTTATTTTACTATCTTTGATACCATTTATGAAATTGTGTTACCATTTTGAATTTGATTGTATCATGTATATTTTCTGTTTTCACGTTAATTTAAGCAAAACAAAATAGTGTTTTTTTGTCATTTTATTAGGCTTTTTTAATATTTCTATATAGTTATTATAAAGTTAATTTTAGTACTTCAAATCAAACTAAACGACAGTGATAAATGTTGCCATGTCAGATAACTGCAATACATTCATTTTAAGAACATTTTAGATGCACTTTATTTTAAGGAGTCCGTGTTACACTGTAATTATACATTGATAATAATTAACAACATGTTCTTACTATAGGGTTAGGTTCGTGGTTAGTTGCATGTAATTATGCACAACAGTGTATAGTTATAGTAATTAATATAGTAACTACATGTAACAAGGACACAAGTGTTACCCATTTTGTTATATTTTGTTCATGCTTTTTTATTTTAAGTAATTCATTTTTTGGTTACACTATTTTAAGAAGTCATTGTTACAGTGTAATTATACATTTAAGTACTGAGTAATATTAATTAACAACATGCATTTACTATAGGGTTAGGATTTGTTGCTTAGTTGCATGTAATTATGCATAATTTACTGTTATTACTATGGTAAGTACATGTGACATATGTAACAAGGACACTGTAAAATAAAGTTACCAATTAGTTATAATTCCATGATGAAAGTACGTGATGTTAATTAATATTACTCAGTACTTATTTGTGTAATTACATTGAAACCACTTAAAATAATGCGTAACCAGAATTATTATCTTATTGGTTCATTCCTAACGATCTATTGTGTATAATCACCAACAAACCGATGAGAAACGGCCAGTTTGCACTTGTGGGATCGACTGTGGGATCCAGACGCGCAACTCAAAACAACCCAGAAGCAAACCTGAAAATACCTCCTCAAACTTCTCCAGCAACTCCTGCAAGCTGAGGTTCAGACCGATCATCATGATCTCCGTCTACCTCCACCGCACTACATCACAAAACGCCGGAGACGGAGAGAAGTCAGTCTCCTCTGGAGGTCCTCACGCGCATAACACAGCTGATTATCTGCGGGAACATCTGTGGAAGAGCACGAGCACATCACGGCTTCAACATCTGCCGGCGTGGAGCAGAGCCTGAGCGGCTGTGCTGAAGATCCGATCCGCATGCTCCAGGGTCCGAAGGGTCCGGATCGGGGTTCGGGACGGCGCGAGATGAAGGCCTGGGTGTTCAGGAGGAACTCAACCAAATATCCAACTGTTGGTTCAGTGATCTGGAGATGACTTCGCTGCTTTAACTCTCGTACAGACGCACACAGAAAGAGTCTTGTTCCTCCTCTAAGTTCCTGTGACCCTCGGGCAATCGTTCGTAGTCAATTACCCGTGTCAAAGAGCCTCTGTGTGGGTCCTGCTGGCGGGCAGGGGAGGAGAACAGCGGCACTGCCGAAAACACAGAGTCAGAGAGTCGAGAAGAACGGTGAACATCTGACCGCGAGGAGAACATCTCCATATCTAGACATGAGGACGGGCCAGAAGCGGAGCTGTGGATGTGGCGGTCTTCATCGTTGCGTTACGTCCACAAGTCCTCAACTAAGCTCTTCAAGAAAGTCCTGAGATGTAGGGATCAGATCTCCACAGGCAGCTCGAGACACATTTCCAGAAGTTCCCCCAAAGTTTCCCTGAAACTCTTTCCGGCGGTCCACCTTTCTTCAGTCAGTGGCCTCTCCTCTTGTTCTTCTCCGACTGCTGGCTCCCAGAGTTGACTTTTCCCCCTCTCTCTCTCTCCTGTCTTTCCCTCCAGTGGCAGCTGTTTATTATTTTATTCAGCATCCTCGGTTTCCCCTCCTCTTTCCCTCCACTCCAAACTAACACACACACACACACACTTCCTGTAGGGCCCCACCATGAAAGAGAGGGAGCACAGAGTCGAAAATGAAAGAGAACAATGTTCGACTAGAAGGTGAAGGCGGGAAAGACAGTGTTTTGTGAAGTATCGCAACAACTCGAGCGTCTGTGAAAGTCTGCAGCGTATGAGCGAGAGACGAGCGCGTACAACACACCGTGCGATGCGATCTAGAGAATCATCTTCCATTTCAAGTCATATTTGTGCACACACATCTGATAAACATCTTAATCACTAAACTAACACACACACCATCGCAAAGTCGCATGTTGAACTTTCTAACATTTTAGCGACTATACATGTATCGTGCAAAAGTTCATTTATTTCAGTAATTCAACTTAAAAGGTGAAACTAATATTCATTACATGCAAATTGAGATATTTCAAGCCTTTATTTGTTATAATGTTGATGATTATGGCTTACAGCTTATGAAACCCCAAAGTCAAAATTGGAATATTGAGAAAAGGTTTTCAAAATTATAACAAATAAAGGCTTGAAATATCTCACTTTGCATGTAATGAGTCTACATACTATATCAGTTTCACCTTTTAAGTTCAATTACTGAAATAAATGAACTTTTGCACCATATTCAAAGTTTTCGAGTTTCACCTGTATATTGGGACTCACTGCAGTGACTGACATCTCTGCCAATATAGTGACTATTGTGACACGGGACAGTGACATTTTGTGGATATTGGGCATTATTGTGACTTATTGCAGCAGCAAAGTGAAACATTGTAGATATTGTGATTAATTACAGAAACGAACACGTCAATAAATGTGCAGATATTGTGACTTATTGAGGTGACATTAATGACATTTTGCAGATATTGTTATCAATTACAGCAACATACACAGCAACAAGCTGCAGATATTACGACTTTTTGCAGTGATGTTAATCACATATTGCAGAAATGTGTCACCAATTACTGAAACATCCACAATATATTTGTGTATAATACATTTGTTGTATTCGAATATACATAAAGTCCAGCAAAACAGTGTCACACCTGCTTCAACGTTGGAGCTCGGTTGTAACGAGTGTTTATTTGAGTTGCTGTTGCCTTTCTATCAGCTGAGCCAGTCTGGTCGTTCTCCTCTGACCTCTGGCATTCGCAGAACTGATGCTCCCTGGATATTTGCTCTTTTTCAGACCGTTCTCTGTAAACTCTAGAGATGCATGAAAATCCCAGTAGATCAGCAGTTTCTGAAGACCAGCCCGTCTGGCACCAACACCCAGACCACATTCAAACTCACTCAATCCCCTTTCTTCTCCATTCTGATGCTCAGTTTCCATGACTACATGCTTAAACACACCGAGTTGCTGCCTTGTGATTGGCCGATTAGAAATTTGAGTTAACGAGCAGTTGAACAGGTGTGGCTAATAAAGTGTCCGGTGAGAAATATATTGTCTATACAGTATATAGAGACAAACTGCAGATTTTGCAACATGCACAGACATATTACAGATACTGCATCCTAAAGGAGGTCCACTGTAAAAAGTGATCAGTTGATTTAAAGTCCTCTTATAGTCAATAATTTTATCCCTTAAAACTCATCTTTGATCACCTAATCACATATTTAAAAGGTTTTTTTCCTTGAAAAAAAAATCTTCATGCCTTAAAATAGCTTGAATGTAACTCGACACCCTTGCCTCGTTTAGTATGCGTGGTTCTATGAATATGCAAATGAGCCCCGCCTCCACTCACTCACTCAGCTCAGAGATCCACTGGTTGACGATCACACGTTGATCTGATTGGTTACAAGGTCGTTTGTGACGTCAGAAACACCAGCGATTTCAAAGCGTGTTTTTGAGACTGTCTTTGGTTCACTGCAGTTTTAAGGAGGAAATACTCAGCAATGCTGTCGACTTATGAATTTACACATGGTTTGTCTTAAAGCGTATTAAAAACACCACATAGACATATAGACAACATTAAAAGCTTGAAACTCACCACAGGGGGACTTTAAAAATGTGAGGAAACCAACCGCGCTAAAATTATTAAGTAAGCAAACTTCATGCGTAATTGAAACTTCACAATTTCACATAACTTAATTTGTTCAATTATGCATGAAGGTTTTTAATGCGACGGGTTTCCTCACTTGTTTTTAGTTAAATCAACTGATCACTTTTTACAGTGTACACTAGTATGTAGTGATGCCGCAGATATTGAAACATACTCCAGCAAATATAGTGGCATTTATATATTGCAGTAAACGCTCTCAGATGAACAGACTTCTGTTCGACACATTCACTCTCCTCTCAAAGGTCTCGGTTCATCATCGACCTTTGAGTTCAACTGAAACAAGTCTGAATGACAAATACAGTAAACATCACACTCTCCTGTTCACATCTTTGTTTCTTTTTTATCAATTGTCACCAATATTTCCCTTTCCCTTTAGATATCACCACCTACTCCTTTCTGTGCCGCGCTCGGGAGTTAAACAGCCTCACTCAGAGCTCCTCAAAGTGTGTGTGAGGGTGTGTTACGCTTCCTTTGAAATTCAGAACGTACATATGGGCTCTTTCGTGGCTTGTCTAAATACATAAAGTCAGCATGTCAAGGGCCATGTGGTCCGAACACACACACACACACACGCGCAGTCTAAAGAGGCCAGGAGCAAAGACAGAAGACAATTGCGAATATTCATGAGCGAACCTCTTTGAAGTGCCTTTACTTCATTAGTGCATTTACATAATGAATATCCAGAGCGGCACGTTTGATGTGCGAGTGTGTGTGTGTGTGTGTGTGTGTGTGTGTGTGTGTGTGTGTGTGTAAGGGAGAGAGAGTAAACAAACCCTGCTGGATTACAATCAAATCAGGATATGAATATGTGTAACACATAATAGTTCATGAGTTAATACATGGGAATGCTTGTGTACGCAAACAAAAGTAATGCAGATGATTACGAACGAGTAGAATAAACACACTGTGAACGCTTGAACTTCATCGGGAAAACATGTCTCCATGCACACACACACACACACACACTTTAATCTTGTTAGTTGTGATGGAGCAGATTTATGTGCAGGTACTTCTAACAAACATCTGAGTCCAGTCCACATCTGTCCCCCACTGATAATGGTGTGTGTGTGTGTGTGTGTGTGTGTGTGTGTGTGTGTGTGTGTGTGTGTGTGTGTGTGTGTGTGTGTGTGTGTGTGTGTGTGTGTGTGTAGTTAGCAATGCAGGGTTTCTGCAGGTTTTCGGAGGGAAATTTAAGACTTATTTAAGACCTTTTAGTAACGGAAATTTGAGAAATGAATTGAAGGGAACTCAATACATCGATATGTTCTCTAAATGTGTATGTTTAAGGAGAAACACGTCAGAGTTTGAAAATACATATATACAGAGTTTGAAAATACATACTTCCAACAGATATGTTACTTTTTATTTCATTTTACAAAAAAAAAAAGAAGAAGCTTGAATCGTTCTGCTCAAAACCACTACAGTATGGACGTGTTTTTTACTGATCAATCTTCAAAAAAGATTCCTAAATCAAGATACATTTACTTCAGATGTCAGATGACATGAAATACAAAGTCTTGTTTTTTTAAATTGATCAAAATTCAGTTTATGACTAAAACAAGAACAAATATGTGCTCAGAAAAAATCAGCTCAACTTAGAAGTTTTGACAGATATTCTTGTTTTAAGCATAAACTCAATTCATTACATTTGAATTTTTCAAGACTTAATTTTACGTTTGCATCTCAAGTAAATGTATCTTGATTTAAACTGGTTTAGATGACTCTATTGGAAAACTTGTACACAAATATTGAGGAATTACACATTTTGTGCAATGCATGCAACATTAATTGCCATGTCTTTATGAATTTATGACTTTCTGCTCTGATTTCAGACCACTTTAAGGCCTTAATTTGTGTAAGTGCAAATCAAGACCTTTTTAAGATGCGAGAAACCCGGGCAATGTCCCTAAATCTGACAAAACCTGAATAAACTGACTGAAATTGCAATGTATTTAAAGCAATGTTCCCACATCTTTCACTGGTGTGTGACTAAACTATATGAAGCAAACGCAGGACTTCAGCGACAGCAGATGCTCAACACAATCTATTAGTGATCCATCTGAGAAAGACTT